GTGAGGCAAAGATTCCACTCAGACATTATAAATTTAACCAAATTGATATCAAATAAGAAACCAAATAAGATCAAGAACAGCAAATAGAGGTGGAATTGAACAATTTTGGACAGTGACAATTGTCACAAAACTGCATCACAGAAATCTAATGACTGAAGAAACACAGTTCTACCAAATTTCTGTTCCAGTTCTGCTGAGCAAAACATTTCCTAGAGGTAATTCTGATGGAACAAAGAAGAAGGGATGGCTGAAGCCTTCAAAGATCACTTAGATGTCAGCCCTGTTTTCTACTCCTATTTATGATACTCATAAAATGCTGGAGTAGACTCTCTGAGCAGCATGTCTTAGCTGAAGAAAATGTGCATACACTGCACATCTATTGAACTCTATGGAAGAAAATATCTCTAACCTGTGTCAAGACTTTGCCCTCCAAAAAATTATCTGATATAAATAGGTTTGAGTAACAGCCACCTACTCAGTAACTCTACTGAGACAAACCCAAGTAGCTCTTACCTCTACTATGGACAAAAGTACTCAAAGCAGTCTGGCAATCTAAAGCCCAATTATTACATACCCAAACAATGCCACAAAGCCCAGTTCCTCTTCACAGCCCAAGCAATTACCAGATTATTGAGCAAGGAGTAAGCAGCGTCACAGCTGAGTGGGGCTGTGCCTGCATACCTCAGTGCCCAGTATCAGCTACACACTCACAGAAATTACAGTGCTATTTAAAAGGGGAGTTGGCAGGTCAGGAGAAAAGTTACTAAGCCTTAGCTTTTCTAACTGACTTTGACACAAAATGTTCATTAGCCAAAGCTACATGTGTTCCTTCAAACAAACAAAAGCACTGATAATGTATTGACACATTTCCAGCATAAGGGTTCAAGGCTGAAGAATGCACTGAGCAAAAAAGAGGAAAAGGAGTGTGAGTAAGGAGTGATTTTCCAAATAGCTCTATTGCATATTAAAAAGAAAATCATGACCAAGCATAATTAACATTCTTGACCTAGGATAGTTTATGTCACATCTCCTCTGTTATTTTTAAGTGAACTGAAAGTGCCTTTGATGTTAATCAGCATGTTCTTCTGCTCAAGGCACTGTGTACACTGTGTATACACATACTGATCCTTGCAGCACACTTGTGAAGAAAAAAAATCCAAAGAGGATTTTTTTCTGACACAACATTATAATAAATCTAGTATCTGTATTTAGACAGTCAACAAAAATAATTCAGGAAAGATAAAGATGAACTGCAAGACATCTTGCTCTGAAAAGCTTTCAAACAACCCTTTGGGACTAAAAGACAGCTTCCATCACCTTCAAAATCTTGAATATGCTCAGATCTGCCTCCTGTGTTCTCATATTACACTTTGTAGGAACTAAAAGTCTGTAGTAATTGGCATTTTTTGAGATTGCAGGGCTGCATAGAGAAGAACTTTCCTTAACTGACCCATACAATCCATAAGGCTTTCAGAGAACTCTGTGGATGTTCACAGAGCACGGAGGGGCTGCACCCCTCAGAGCCAGGGATGTCTTTGTGATGTGAGATTGCGGTATGGGCCCACTGAGGATGTGATCCATTAAGAGCTTGCTCTGCTTAATGGGCACCATTACTAAATAGTACTTATAATTTAAAATTAATTGTTCAACTGCAAATACATGGAAGGACAGTGGACCTGATTCCAGAGATGTGGCTACTGTCCTGTGCCACAGGCACATGTTTTTTGCTGCAACATTCAAGGAAGACCTGTTACTTTTCCTCCCTGTATTCATCTTAGCTCAAACTAAGCTGGGATTTTCAAATTAACCAAAGACGAAAAATACAAACTTAAACTGAAAAGAAAAATTCCAAGTTTGACACAAAGTATTAAAGCTTTTTTAAACTTTTTTTCCCTGAAATTTGTCTAAGAAGAGTGCAAATAAAAACCATGTAGCACACTTGTGAAGAAAAAAAATCCAAAGAGGATTTTTTTCTGACACAGCATTATAATAAATCTAGTATCTGTATTTAGACAGTCAACAAAAATAATTCAGGAAAGATAAAGATGAACTGCAAGACATCTTGCTCTGAAAAGCTTTCAAACAACCCTTTGGGACTAAAAGACAGCTTCCATCACCTTCAAAATCTTGAATATGCTCAGATCTGCCTCCTGTGTTCTCATATTACACTTTGTAGGAACTAAAAGACTGTAGTAATTGGCATTTTTTGAGATTGCAGGGCTGCACAGAGAAGAACTTTCCTTAACTGACCCATACAATCCATAAGGCTTTCAGAGAACTCTGTGGATGTTCACAGAGCACGGAGGGGCTGCACCCCTCAGAGCCAGGGATGTCTTTGTGATGTGAGATTGCGGTATGGGCCCACTGAGGATGTGATCCATTAAGAGCTTGCTCTGCTTAATGGGCACCATTACTAAATAGTACTTATAATTTAAAATTAATTGTTCAACTGCAAATACATGGAAGGACAGTGGACCTGATTCCAGAGATGTGGCTACTGTCCTGTGCCACAGGCACATGTTTTTTGCTGCAACATTCAAGGAAGACCTGTTACTTTTCCTCCCTGTATTCATCTTAGCTCAAACTAAGCTGGGATTTTCAAATTAGCCAAAAATGAAAAATACAAACTTAAACTAAAAATAAAAATTCCAAGTTTGATACAAAGTATTAAAGCTTTTTCAAACTTTTTTCCCTGAAATTTGTCTAAGAAGAGTGCAAATAAAAACCATGTAAATCTTGTTAAACTGCCTTAGAAAGGGCAGGGCAGTAACTGGTTTTCCCCTGCTGCCTTCTCCCCTTGATTTTTAACAACTTGGAGACAACATGCAAAATGCCTGAAGAGAAATTAATCAGGAACTCCTCATTTTCTGGGCTCACTACAAAAGCAGGGAGAGCAAAGGGGGGTAAAGGAGGTTTTAGAAATGCTTTTTTAAATGCTGGGAAAAGTGGAAAAAACTAGGAGAGAAAGTCAGAGTCTGTAAGAGGCACACACTGGCTGCACCTTGCTTGTTTTCGCACACATGAAGCCAGAAGAGACATCTGGCCAGGCTTCGTGCCACCAGCGCTGCTCACAGGCATTGCACAGCTCCTCATCATGCAGGAAGTGGAAGCGATCATGGGTGGGACTGGAATTTTGCAATAAAGCACGGCAGCGTAAACGTTGCGCGAAACAAACTCATACCAGTGAGAGAAGAATTGCAAAATTCCTCAGGAAAAAGCAAGTATCAGGAAAAATAACACACAGAATTACTGAAGGAACTTCAGTTTGGGAATCAGTCTGCATTCACCCAAACTCATGAGGGCCCCAACTTAGATTGTTTCAGTCCTAGAACAAAGGACTCAAAACGACCCTGATACTGAACTTTTTTCTTCACAAAAGAGCATTTAGCTCGATGAACAATGCTGGCCTAACTTTGTAGCAAAGCCTAATGGTCCAAGTCAAGGAAATTCACATTGTAACAAAAAAAGTGAAACAGTACCACAAATACTACTGAATTATCCATGACAGAGATGATGAAGCTCCTGTTAGACATTATTTTCCTAAATGTAAACCAAAACAAACCAGCTCTTTGCTCCCGAAAAGTAGCTTTCCCATCCTTTGAAATTCAGATTTGCTTAAAATATTCCCCTTGAAAGGGTCTTCCTGCAACACATGGGCCTGTTTTCTTTTGTTTAAGCCATACAAAAGAAAATCACCACAAAAGAGAAAGAAAGGGGAGAGGTCACGGGAGCACCAGGATTACCACAGAATCCCACAGCCGGCACTGAACAGAGTTATCGCCTTCTCCGGGGCTTCTCCACCAAAGGCTGAATTCAGCAAAACCCTCCTCTCTCCAGTAACCAGCCCAGCTCCCATAACTCCCAACTCTCCAGTGACTCCTAAGCAAACCCCACGCTGTTCTCCGCTGAAAGGCCTGACCTTGATGGTTCCAGCTGCAAGCCAGGTCAGCGAGGCAGCGCTCCCGGTGCCATTCCCATGCGGAGCACGAAGCCGGGCGGGGGCTAAACAGCGGGCACGGCTCCCACGCTCCGCTCCCCGCCCCACCAGCGCCCGCACGAGCACCTCCAGAAGCAGGAGGAGGTTCGGGGCCGCGGCCAGGCAGGGTCCCGTGTCCCGTGTCCCCCCGCTCCGCTCCGGTGCCGGTCGCGCTGCCCCGGGCCGTGCCGGGCTCTCACCGCGCTCCCGCCGCGCCCGCACCGCCGCTCCCGGCCCGGCCGCCGCCGCCGCCCCATTGGCTGCCGGTCACGTGCGCCGGGGCGCTCGGCCAATCAGCGCCGCCGGAACGCGCTTCGGAAACTTTGGTGACTTTCAAACGGCGCCGGGGGGCGGCGGCCGCGGCCGGTCCGACTCTTATTGCCTTTCCCATTCTCGTTGCCTTTCCCATTCTCATTGCCCTTCCCATTCTCATTGCCTTTCCCATTCTCGTTGCCGTTCCCATTCTCATTGCCTTTCCTTTTCCCATTCTTATTGCCGTTCCTATCCCTGTTCCCGTTCCTCGTCTGCCTTGCTAAACGCTCCCCCCCGTCCATGTTCAAGCACCTACAGTCACGCCCAAGGCTCCGCATCTCCTGAGGTGTAAATCTAAGCGTGTAAACCAGCAAGCGCCGTAATTTTAAAGGCGTGATTGACCTTAAAATTATCGAAAAGAAGAAACATTAACTCTTAGTTACGTTAACTCTTTTTTTTTTTTTTTTTTTCACAATTCGAAAGACCTCTGCTGCAAAAGCAAGCAGCGAGACAGCGCCGGTATCTATTTTTAACGCCAGCCCAACATCTTTAGACCAAAGTGTCCTTTTCCCGACCAAGGACAGGATTCTGTGTCGCAGCCCATGAAATATTAGCCACTTCCAGTCATCCCCATCCCGGCATGATGTCATCGTTGCAGAAAGATGCGGCTGGCTCCCGCAGCCCGAGAATGCTCCGCAGGATCGACGGCAGGGACCCGAGCCGGGCAGGCTTTGCCAGGCGCCCCAGGTGTGTCCCTGCCGACCGTGCTGCGGCTGGCTCCCGCAGCCCGAGAATGCCCCGCAGCAGGACCGACGGCAGGGACCCGAGCCGGGCAGGCTTTGCCAGGCGCCCCAGGTGTGTCCCTGCCGACCGTGCACACAAACACTCGCTCCTTGGTGGTGCCTGGCGTTAAAACAAAAACACAAATTATCGCACGTGTATCACTGCGGCCCGCACAGGCAGGGCCACGTGTCACCGAGTGCCACCGAGTGTCACCGAGTGCCACCGAGTGCCTCCCAAGCAGCAGCCGGCCCCAGCTTCGTTCACCTGCGGTAACAGCGGGCCTGGAGCGCGCTCCGGGGCTGAAAAGACTTGTCTGAACTGGAACCACGCCGCTCCCAAAGGCCGTGAAAGGCTGGGACTGTAACTAAGAGGAGGGATGCTTTTCCAGAAATATTGCACTAGAAGGAATCTGTCCATAACTCAGATAACTTTAACTGAGAAGGGTGACAAAGAATATTCTACTTTCTTGTGAGGCATTCAGCAAAAAAAACCAAAACCAAACTGTATGTTCAGTTCAGATGTTCAGCAGAAGTAAATGGAAACAAACTATCATAAAACTATGAAGAGAAAACTAAATAAGGCATTTAAAAAATTGGGTTAATAGCATTTGCAGTTCTGTCATTACCCAAGAATGTTTTTATTATCAGATATGTTGCAGAAAATAAACCACGTGCTATTGTAGTATGTTGCCAGTAATTAAAACAAATTATACATTGTTCACAAGTTCGGGACAGAGGACATTTTACTTCAACACTTTAAGCAAGTTTTTGAGGATAGCATGACTACACAGATTATGCCAAAGGTACAGCTGAGTACTTTTAATATTTCTCATCTTGAAATACTTGTAAAACACAGCAGAATTTCTGAGATTTCAGAGGAAGCTGAGAGCCTCTCAATCAATTCTGAAACAGTGAAGCAGCACCCTAACAAATGCCAGGGGCTCAGAGGCACTACTGTACAAAAGCAATAAATATTCTTTAAAAAAGGTTACAGTAATCACTGTGACTGCCTTGTTTGCAAGAAGAACACTTGTCTATTTCAAAATTAGCAGAGGAGGAGAAATTATTTTTTGCATTTATTTTTAGTTTGCTGATTAATAATTAATAACTGGCAGATCTTTGTGGTGCTAGGATTCATGGGCTGGTTATTTTAATGAGAAGGCCACACTGATTCTTCCACGAAAACTAAGTGGACAAAAATTTATCTACTGTAAGTTCTGGTAAGAATTTACAGTGGATAAATTTTTTGCCACCTTATCTTTTGGCAATTAACTTCTGTTGGGAAAAAAATACTTGCTTTTCTTAGAGAATTAAATAACTCACCACACCACCCACTCTATGGATGGAACAGGAGCTGCTCACCAATTGTCATTACAAACTACTGAACTGCTTTTTTATCTTTGTCAAATGGATTACTGACACACATAAAATGTGACAAACGTTTTGGAATATCATATGGAAATATTGCTATCACTGAAGAGCAAGTATTTAACAGCAATAAAACCTTTTTTTCTGTTTCTTTAAAGATATTATATAATTCTCTGCAATCTGTATGTGCAGAATCAGATTTTCACATGCTTAAGCAAGAAACAGATTCCCACTACTTTAAAAAACCTTCTGAAATCTCAAACTGACACATTTTTTATGAAACTGTCAAATGCTCATTAGCAGCACTGGTTCACTAAGCAGAGCAGAACACAGCAGCTCTCTCAGCCTTGGCACACAGCAGTGACACTCCCAGTGACCCTGGCAAGCCTGGCTGTGGCTCTGAGCTTTGTCACCAGGGCTTCTCCTTGCTGCTGGCTGCAGTCTCTTAGGCCAAGGTGCAAGCCTGCCAGCTTAGCCTAATTCCACAATTGTGATCAAAAGCTACTGAGGCACCAAAGAGCAGATCCCACCGTGTGCTGTCACTAACCTCCCTGCTGCAGGGGCTCAGCCCAGCCTGGGTGACAGGAGTGGCTGCATGGCTTTGGGCCAGCCTTCCGGGGGAGCTGCTAAACCGTGAGACACAGCCACGTCTGCAGGAAGGCAAGAACAGGAAAATTAGAAATCGAGGCAGGGTTGTTGAGACAAGCGCTGTTAGCAACGCAAGGATTCAAGAGGAAAAATACTACAGTGGAAAGTTATACAAGCCTAAAGTGAGCAAAGCCCAGTGACCTCTAGTGAGTTGCCAGTGCCACCACATCAAGAGAGCAGTGACCTGTGCGTGGCTGCCCACAGCTTTATTGATGCTTCTTGGGCCAGACTTCAGGTGGTGTCAAGGGCTGGGGACACACTAATGCCTAATCCAGTGAGTTCTTAGAAGGTTGTTTTGGGGTTTTTTGGGGGGTTTTTTTGTTTGTTTTTTGTTGTTGTTGTTGTTTTTTGTTTGTTTGTTTGTTTGTTTGTTTTTTGTTGGGTTTTTTTTTGTTAGCCAGTTATTGCTTTGTATTTTCAAGCTGTGTACATCTGATTTGGGGAATAGCTAATGATGCCCAAGGCACCCAGAGAAAGCACAGAGAGCTCAGACACATCTGTTTAAAGAAGCAAACAGCAGATTTCTGGAATATCTGCAGCGAGGGAGACTCCACGGCCTCTCTGGACAAGCTGTCCCAGGGCTCAGTCGCTCACAGGGAAGAAGTTCTTCCTCGTGTTCAGGTGGAACTTGCTGGGCATCAGTTCCTGCCCATCCTCCTGTGCCATGGCTGGGCCCAGGGAGCAGAGCCCGGTCCCTGCCCTGAGCCCTCCCTGCTGACACCGTCACACCTTCACCTCACGGCTTCGGTGCTGGGTCTGTGCACATTCTACCACAGTTTGTGCGTGTTTTACCCGGCTTTGTGCATGTTTTACCCGGTGTTCTGCGTGTTTTGCCCGGGTTTCTCTGTGTTTTACCGGCTCTCTGTGTGTTTTACCCGTGTTTGTGTGTGTTTTACCCGGGTTTGTGTGTGTTTTACCCGTGTTTGTGCGTGTTTTACCCGGCTTTGTGCATGTCCGGCGGCGCTGTGGGCTCGGTGGCGCGGCTCGGTGCGGAGGGCCGGGCTGGAAGCGCCCCGGGAGCCTCGGGACACCGAGGGCAAAGCGCGGGCTGTGTGTGGATATTGTCACGCTTGCTGTTTTCAGTTATCGTGTTAATTCCGAATAAACCGCTGCTAAAGTAACGCGCTCCGGAGTTGTAAAACTTGACGAACTTGATATTGCAGGCAGCATAAATTTTGGATAGCTAGAATTCGCGAGAATAAATATTTCTGCTTAAAAGAAAAAGCAAAACTTCTTTCGAGGTTAAAAACAATGCAGAGGTAAATGTAGTGCCGTGTAAAGTGTTCTGTGGTTGTTGTGTTCAACATTAAATACAGAAGAACCGGGAGCAGTGTAGGCTAATGAATGCAGCACGGAGTTGGAGGGTAAGAAGGCTTCATGGCTTCATGGCTTTCCTGGTACTGAGGCTTGGGTTGCTCGGTGGTTCTGTGAAGCTAAATTGATGTGCAGTGGGGCAGCTTGAGTGTTAGCAGAAGTGCCTGTAAGTCATTTTAACAATGTGGAGCCCTGTGCTTAATGCAGGTGTGTTGTGTGTAGGTTTTCTTAGCCAGTGGAAAAACAATGAAAACACAGCTCAGTTGTTTCAGCTGGGTTCAGTTGCACCTGTTGGGTATTTGCAGTTGAGCTGTTCTTGCCCCCTGGATCTGCTTTCTGGGAGGGTGCACTGAAAGTTCGAGGGTACTGTTTTGTGTCAGTAGCTTGTGACTCCAGCTAATGCCTTGGACTTCAAGGTGTTTCTCCTCAGACTGGTTCCTCTGTGCTGTGGGTCATGAGGAGCCCTCCTGTGTTAAAAAGGGTAGTTAGGGCCTTGGCCACGTAATTAAATTTAACATAATTAATGCAAGTTCACTGCCAGAGCAGTAGTGGAATTCTTAAGACCACCCTGATATTTCTCTGTCTTGCTTTGAAGGTTTTTTGAAGTGTGCTTTTTGCTTTTTCCTCTTAGCAGGTGGGAAGAATGAAAGGAAGGGGGGATGAAAGGATGTTGAACCTTTTTGTTTGGCTGTATGATGGAAGGAAACAGGACGGAGAACCTCTGCAATAGATCCTTGGGATGGCTTCAGAGACAAGAGAATGATGCTAAGCCATGGCTCTGGAAACTTTCTAATTGCTTTTCTGCTGCTGAGAAGGCTCTGCCTTGTAGTGCAAAAACGGTAATTCCTGCCTCCCTGAGGGTGCTTGGGCTCCCAGTGCCTGACTCGGGGTGTTACTGACTGAGGGGGTGGGGAGGGGAGGAGGAGGCAGCAGCTGCCAGGGTGAGTACAAAACCTGCCTGGGGATTTGTTTTTTGGCTGTGTTCACAGCTCTCACACCAGTGGTGGGGAGAAGGGGCAAGCTGCTTTGCCTGTCAGGCTTTGCCCTCCACAGCTGTTTGGGGTAGTGCAGCTGGCTGCCCAAAAGGTGTGTGAGGAGCTTCTGGGGAGCTCTGCCAATTATGGCTGAAGAGTGGAGTTTATTTTTATTTATCTGCTTAGTTTGGAGGCAAATTTAGTTCTCTGAATTATTATTTTATGTAGTGATAGCTACAGCAATTGTGGATACTGTTCTTCACAAGGTCTTACTTTTCCCTTGTTTCCATTTCTTTAAATGTTCCTTTAATGTTTTATTCATTTAAGATGCAAAGGGCTGTGGATTAGAAGGAGTAGTACAACACAATTAGGTGCTTGAGCAAGTGAGCTCCAACTGTTAAATAACACTTTTCACACACATTTAATTTGACTAAGCAAAAACATAAAGCAAATGGATGAGCATGTTGCTGTTTTCATATATTGAGGGTTAGGATGGAAGCTGCCATAAAATCTGGAATTTAATATATAAATCAGTTCCAGACAGATTTTTGGCAGAGTTTATCTTCTTGAGATGTAGCATCAAGTAGAAAGGAATGAGTAATTAATTATTCATTTATGTGTAGTAGGAAATGCATTAAATTCAATTTGAAAAATAAAAGCTGTTCAGAAGTTTTGTAGCAATGTTCTGTCCAGGTTACCTCTACTGACCTTGACTATTCTGTGCTTCTTTTAACCTTGCTTGGTTTTCACTGCTGGCATTTCAAAAAAGTCCTCTTTTTGTCTCTGCTTTTGTCTGTACATCTTGATATCCTTAATCAGAGTAGACAAAAACCACTTTGTTGTTGTGAGACTGTAGCCTTCTTTGCCCTCTGCTAAATTACCTGCCTGATATAATTTCTAATTTTTTAAGAAATATTGTTTTAATGTATTATTTTTATTATTTTAATAAATTTTAAAATCTTTATTTGAACTAAAATATGATGACTTATGGATCTGCAAGTTGTGAAGCAGTTCTCTCAACTAACAGTTGAGAGAACAGCCTTGGCCTAACAGTTTTCTGCTTTTCTGATTCTGTTTTGTGGACTCCATGTTGTTTATAGGTCTCTGGGTTTGTTGCTTCCAAAGTCCACTGATAACAGTATACCTAGGGCTGGCACATGTAGCTGGCATGGTTCTCTTTAATATTTCACATGTTCAGTCAGTAAGGTAATAGTAGTCATAAAGATAGCACTTTAAATCTAAAATAATAATAGTCTAAAAATATGTGCTTCTTATTCTATAAAATGATTGGTTTATTCATGTACCTGAATGTAACTGAGCTTTCATTTTCCAGAAAGATTACATGGAGAACAAGAAAGCTGCTGTGGAATTGAAGGATGCTTCATCTCCTCACGCTGGCTCTAAATTGTTTCCAGCAGTGCCGCTCCCCGATGTTCATCCTCTTCAGCAACAGCAACTACAGCTTTCCCCTGGCCCCAAAGTAAGCTGCTGTGCTCATGGCTCTGACTCTTCTTGCACTCCACAAATGCATTGTGGTGGTGGTGGAGGTGGGAACCTGATTCACCCTGGCACAATATTAGACTCAAAAAGCACTGGGACGATAACTTGTCAAGTAGGGTCAGGATTTGCTTATCAGTCTGCCTCTTCACTGAAGAACCCTCCAGCTAGAAGCAATTTGGCAGGAATTTCCAGTGAGTTCTCTGGTGTGTGTGTAGAAAACAGTGTATCTTCCTGTCAGCATCTGGCCTGTTGTGGAAAACTCCATTTCCAGCCCTGCCATGGTAACGTGCACAAGCTGCATCAGTTCCCAGCCCTGCCTGGCTGCCCATCCTCTGGCTATTTCCCCTGTCCCGAGTTCAGCACTGGGGCTGCGGGGCACTTGGACGAGCACGTTGCACAGCCGGAGCTGCCTCGCGTGTGCGCCAACCCTCTGCACCTAAACGTGGTGCCCCCCGTGTGTCTGAAGGGCTCTCACTACTGCACTGACTGCTTGAGCAAGGTTTGTACACCCTGCCTTTCTCCTTCCCTACTGTGCTGCGTGGTTCGTGTCCAGATTGTGTAGCTTGAGCAAAACAGCAGCTCCTGTGGGTGCAGCTTGCATCCTCCCAGCTGGTGATGCGCGGTCCAAGTGTGCAGACAGCCTTTTTGAAGCTGAGCTCTTTCCTGAACTAATATTCAATGCAATGGGAAGACAAAAGAGCTGTGACAATGTTCATCCTACAGGGGATCTGTAATGTACTTGAGTGGAGTTTTAACTTCCTTCAAATCTAGTGATCTCTTCTTTACAGCTCCAATTAAACTGTTCCATGGTAGGGACTCTGCGAAAAGGCTAACAGCAGTTAGGATGTACCCTTGGGCAGCTGATCAATAAAGAGTCATTTGTAAGTCAGGTGATACACCTTGTGCTACAAGGATATTCTAGTCTTGGTTTGGTTTGATAGCTCTTAGTTCAGTCTTCCCAAATTTGTAATTTATACTTTAGTACCAATTTAGTAAAATTCAGAGCTTGTTGGAACTGTGCTTGAATACTACTAGGAATTTCTGGTGAAATAATATTCAGCTTTGCAATATCTGTTACTTAAACTTCTGAGTTTAAGTTTCTGATATAAAAGTGAGTTATATTTAGCTCATTTTAATGAATTAAATGGTCAATTCAATATATTTGGATTCTACTCTCCATGTGCAGGTTTTGTATACTAGGTCTGGTTTTTGTTGGTTTTTTTAAAGGATACATATTAGTACTCCTTAAAGGTGGCATGTCTTGATCTGTTGACTTTAGTAGAATGTTTCCTTGCATTTGTAAATCTAAAGCTGAATATGCTGGGATAAAAGCTTCCTTCATGCCATCATGCTGTTGTTAATTAGCTTTGTAAAGCACATCTGAACTGGCATTTGTTGCAGAAGGGAAACTGAGTGTTTGTGGCATGGAATAGCATGTGTTAATATTGTATACTGAATGAATATGTATTCTGAAAAATTGTCCCAACAGCCAACCAGAAACAGCCTAGTTGATCCTGCTAAAATCTGGCCAAATATTCCTCCTCCAAGTGCACAGACTGCACCTGTTCCTATCCCAATCTGTAATGGCTGTGGAACCAAAGGAACAGGAAATGAGAAGAGTTTGATACTGGCAAGCAGCCTTGGCAAATCACCACAGAAATATGGTAAACCACATTTGTTTAAAACTTCCATTTAGTGGATGTTCTCCTTTTAGATACTGTTGCACAGCAAGAGTTCTCTTAAATTGCACTATTATCTGGAAACTTCTGTAAAGTCATAGAAGACTAAACAGTACAAAAATATCTTGTCTCTGTTTTGAAAATTCATTACTTTGTTTTACATGTTTTGACTACTTAGTCAATTTACTGTATTGTTTACATAGAGTTTTGATTTTACTATTATTATTTTTACTGTTCTAAGAAGTTGAAAAAGTTGAATTCTGCAATTGAATTCTGCTGGCTTG